CTTTTGAGTTTCGATAATATGCTTCTGACTACCTTCCAATGTTCCTCCTCACTCCCTGATGTATACGCCAGAACGTCGTCCATGTAGGCTGTGGCATCAATGTCAAGGTGCTCGCGCAATTGCTCATTAATATATCTTTGAAACGTTGCTGGTGCGTTGGAAAGACCGAAAGGCGTTACCATCCACTCGAAGAGACCAAACCGACAGCGGAATGCCGTCATCCATTCACTGCCCTCCTTGATACGTATTCTATGGAAAGCTGATTTTACGTCAAGTTTGGTAAACCATCTTGCTTTAGATAACTGACGTAGCGTTTCTTTGAATAACGGAAGTGGATATCGATCAGGCACCGTTATCGCATTTAGTCCCCTGTAATCTACGCAGAATCTAAGGCCTCCGTTTGGCTTCTTTGCAAAAAGTACCGGTGCCGCTGCTGCTGACTTGCTGGGTCGAATCCAACCCTTTTCCAGGAGGTCGGTCAGGGTTTTCCTCAAAACAAGCAACTCTTCTCTTGACATACTGTAAAGTGGTCCCCATGGTGGTGACAGAGGTTTCCCATTTTCTTTCTTTAACTCTATAGAATGGTCAAGTGCCCCGCGCGAAGATGGTAAGTCTTTTGCCCCTGTGTCATCTGCAAATAAATGAGCAAAATCCTTGACTTGGTCAGGTAGGCGATTCCGCGCTATTTCTAACGAAACACCCGGTTTTCCACGTAATGCTTTACTTATATCTTCGAGCGATGCCTTGCAAACTGGGACAGTCTGGACCATTAACGCCATAGTTTTGATTGGAACATTCTTTGGCCGAGCCACATTTCTCAAATCTTGTCGCCATCGCTCGACGCTGCATACAGATCCACCATACTTGCGAAGCTCCAATCGCTGCTCTTTAGAATGAATTACAGCATCTTGTTCTTCGAGCCATTTTTTCCCTAATATCAACTGATGTGTGCTCTGAGGGACAATGTAGAGCCACAGTTTTGGGGTGATATATCCATCAAGATCTAGTGATATGTACGTAATTTTATCCACAGTTGGCTTGTTTGTAGATGAATTATCTGCAGTTTCTAGTAGTCTTGGTGTAATCGGAATGCGCGGCAGTCGCAGTTTTTCAGCTAATGCTTCATCAATAATTCCAAAACACAAGCAACCATTGTCTACTAATGCTTGTACCATTTTTGTATCATTTAATAATGCATTTAAAAGAAAAGGTTTTGTATTCATGCTCGCTTCAAAACTGCTGACTGTTTCTGGCTCCTGAGCGCGACTATGTTCAGGAGCCTTTAGTTTTCCGATTCCACTTCCACTTCCTCCACATAGTACATTGATGGGTCTATTTCCGGCAATGACGTAGATGTAACCCTGACTGAATTACCTCTAGGCTTTAAAGCCGGCAATAGAGGACACTTTCTGGTTATACACCCTTTCCGCTCACATCTAAAGCAACGGCCTTCTTGTCTCAATATTTCTAATTGAGATTTAGTTTTCCACATTGCTCGCCGGCGTTCATCTTTTACCACACCCATTGCATTAACACCGCCCATAACGTTAACACCGCCCATAACAGTGTCCCCTGACTTATCCACCGCCCCGTCCTTTCCGAGGTTACTGAATCGACTATCGAAATTATCTGATATTTGATTATGCGGTAACCAATTGATTCCGTTATTTCCGATAGTGCGTCCCTTATCTCGATTTCCATGCCATAGATTCGCATCAGGGTATGTGTAATCCCGTCTTCCATAGAATCGACTCTCAGCTATCTCAAACTGCTGTGCAACCCTGTTCACTATATTCACCCATTCATTGAAATCATCGTCAGGCAACATGTGATTTGAGGCTAGCGCCATAGTCAACTTTTTGTTTAAAGCATTCTGGAGCAGGGAGATTTTGTTGTCATCTGGCCAAAAATCTCCTCGGGCCTCAGTCAATTTGTTCGACCAAGATGCTAGAAAGTCCGACCAGTGTTGTTTATCCTCCATTTTCATAGACTGTAGCTCTGTTTTAGCACGAGAAATTCTTGTCGAATCTAGAAAAAGCCTGTCGAGGAATTCAATGAAATCTTCGGGATCTCTGGTATTCCGAACTCCGCCAGCTTCGTAGAACGAGCTGGCCTTTGTTCTTGCCGTGCCCTTCAGTGCGTTATAGATCATCAGGAAAGCTCGAGAATTGTCGTATCCGAAAAGATTCCAGTCCATACGGAAAGTATCCAAGACAGCAGCACGCCATGCTGGGTATTCAGCTCTAATTCCAATGAATTCCGGAAGCTTTGTCGGCTTTAGACTGGTGTGCTCGCTTGGTGGTGGATCCTTCTCAATGATAAATCTTTTAGTAGACGTAGGTTTACAAGATTGCTTTTCGAGCAATTTTTTAAACTGATGCTGAAGTTCGCGGAATTCCTCCATAGGTACCATCTGGTGGCGTCCCCCGGTTACCGATGATGTCATTATTATTGAGATTTATTACTGAATGACTACAACTCACTGCGGTTCCGAGTTACTGTGACTGACTACGATTCTGAATTTCTGCGACTGACTGCGGTTCTGAATTACTGCGACTGACTGCGATACTGAATTACTGCGACTGACTGCGGTTCTGCAATGTTTGTATTGAAAGGCTGATGGCTGTCACGGTTCGAGGTATAGATGCTGGGGCGATCAAATATACGAAGGTTGTTTATTATTTTCTCTATGGCTATCTATGTACGTCCAACTTAAACTATTTATTCGCTTACTATTCTATCTAGAATATTCTTGACTAATACCAGTTTCTAGTATTTTCCCCTGAGGCTGGTTCGCAGTCTTACTACTAGTTGCTAGAAATTTCTAGTGATGTCCAGATTAATCTATGATAGAATAGTGGTTTCGTAAAGCTGTGAAGCACGTGATTAACATCATGTGCCACAGGGTAATTACCGGCTCACTAGCCGTTACAATGGCGATGGATAGGGAGACGTCACCTTGTGAATAGAATACTGATAAGTATGGGAGAATTCAATAGATCACTTGGATAGAGTAAAATGATTGATTGATGGTGAATTGTATTTGTGGATGATTGATATATATACTGAGAGTCAAAAGGCCCTATCTATATACAGGAGTTCCTACCCTTATTCCTCTACATGTTATTGTCTATGATAGCTAGAGAAACTATAATGGTGTCCTCATTGTAGTAAACACGTTGATGTTAGTGTGTAGCGACCAGGAGGCAACAGTGATCAGACTCTAAGGGGTTAATTTTGCTGGTGCACAGTTATCCCCTGAAGGTGTGTGCAGTTATGAACTCAGATTTTTACAACAGTTTGTTGGATCTTTATTTGGGTCCATCTGTTGGAGGAGCTCCCATAGCCCAGCTGGGTCCATCCTTCTCATGAACTCAAGGGACTGCTCCATTAATTGAGTCTCAATTGAGTTTGATATTATTATTTGCGCCTGCCGCGCTTTGGACAATCATCTCTCTTCCTGCACACAAAACTCGGAGTCTGTCATGCTAGATGATTCTTGATTGTGAGTGCTACTGGATGAAAAGGCCCGAGTGTTTGGTCGAGAGATGTTCATCGTGTCAGTGCTGGATGGTCTCTTCCATGAGCCATCAGCAATACCAAGTGCCCTCGCATTTAGATTGGGGGAGATCATTGTGGTTATCATGGTCTTTAATCCTGTGGTGGATGAAAATATTTTCGCTGATATTTTAAGGGAAGTCAATGTATTGTTAAACACCGGTCTCATAACCTGTTAGGATTATTGAGAGAGTGGAGTCATAGTGGCGAGAATAGATAGAGAGTAAAATAAGTTGTGTAGAGAATATGTATTGTAGTGCAGTAAGATATTTGAAAATGTGTGTGCTAAATACAGAGGGTGAGGGGGTTTAACCGAATCACCCAGCTGACTAAGCAGCATTTTCCAACAACTAGCAAACACTCGGACAGTCACGGGGAGGATTGCCTTGAGCACGGTGTGTGACATAATTAGAGGACTGTGTGATAGACTGTGTGCTGGAACATCTATTGAGAAAGTTAATAGCACTCGGATGGGCTCAGAGAGGATTGTTTCGGGTACGGCGAAACTGATTGAAAGGTAGCCGAGTGGTAGGGCAAGCGTCGGGAGTTAACACCAATGCAGAATCCTAAACTCCCCATAGGTACATCTGTCTGCTCTTAGGACTAGATGCGAATCGCATATTGGGGGAGAGCGCGGGTATAAATAAGCCCTTCTTGTACATACATATTCTGTCTTTAGAAAAATCGTAAACTATTGATCGTGCATCTCAAGCCAACTTGAGAACTTCCCCGACTGTCACACCTGCAAAATGATTGTGTACAATATTCTGTTTGTAAATTCTCCTTGACTTTAAACTAAAGCGCCATTATTGTACCTACAACTAGCTATAACTCGGAGTATGTGACAGAAGCAAGCTGGTTGTAGTGTACGTTTAGAAAGATTATATGAAGAGAGAAGTACCACAATTACGGGTAATGACCATTTGTACTTCTTTCTAGCTCCAAAAGTAATGTAGCCAAGTGAAACTTAGTCGCTTGATAAAAGATAACATGGAATACCTTCCCTGATACGCCCCAAAACTCCACTGCTTAGGTCTCCACCTAAGCTAAACCACTGCCAAACTGTGTTAGGAAATGGTTAAACTGTCCTTTGCAGCTATTGATGGTGATATGAATTAGGATGATGATTGTGATTTAGATTTCAAGATAATTTATAATACATAGTATGCTCCGGCTCATATATACCTCGAGCCAAGCAACCAGATTATGTTCCTCCAGATCTAGATTCATCAGAACAATTACTTACTCAGTAAAATTTTCTTATTGTCGATTGTGCGTTTAGGATGTCGACTAGGTTTTTAGTGAGTAGTCAATGATGTTCCTCCTATCGCTGAGACATAGTCATGGTTGATACAACAGGTACAGACGATGAATCGTGTCTATACATGACGTTGTGATATAGTCATGATCGTCTGAACAATATCAACTCATGAATCATGTCTCTACATGACAAAATCTAACAGAGTACATATTCTCCATCGGCTTCCTGAGAGTTCAAATATCCGTTGGTATGGGTCCACACTGACAGATTGGACTAAGTAATTTGTTGGAGCTAGTCATCGAAAATGATGGTTAGTAAGAGCTAAGTCGAAGGAATGGGGAGACTGACTTCCATCTGGTCTATTAGCTGTAAATCGATATGCCCCAAAGGTACTTCCACCAACAAATAAAGGATCACTAGCTTGAATTTGGTCGTAGGAGGCTTCTGATGTGTAACCTCTAACAACTGAATAGTCAAATTTTTTCCCACTTTCACATTTATAATATTGCAGTCCACATGCCGTAGGCACCAGGAGCAAGAGAGAAGCAAATTGAGCCTTCATCCGGAAGACGTCCTCAAGAGATTAGATTTAAGTGCTGGAGACAGTAAGTTATCTAACTGCAAAACCAAAGACACGGGGAAGAGAAAACCTGATGTGATGGAATGAATGGATTCTGCTTATTATTATTCAATGCAGATATTTCCGACAGGAAGAGTGAAATGAGCGGTGCTTGGAAATTTGGAAGATGAGTATGGCAGGAAGAGAAACTACAGTCCACTTATACTTTTGACAGCATCTACTTTGAACACGTAGATATTTGAATATCAATTAATTGACTCTGCAGCATCTGGCTCTCTTTCCATACCAGGTTTAGCCAAAGGAATGGAAGAGCAAATCTCGGCTTACAGGGCTTGTAAATCAATGATTATCCCAGTCATGCGGCCCTAACTTCATCATGAGAGAAAGAGTGATTTTTGTTCAGTTGAGGGATATGTGAGGGCAAACCAGAACAATCTCGTTCATTTGTTTGTCATCAGACATCAACTCATGTTAGCCATATCTGCTATTCCATTCTTTTTGGAGATGTCTTGTGGATATCATGAATCTTATGCAGAAGAGTCAGCCCATGATAGATGACTCGTGCCCGACACGTCCCACACCTGGGATGACTTGCCAATGTGTAATAACAAGGGACGCAACGGTGTTAGGGAGCCACCGTCAAGGATTGCCTTGTATCATGCGTATCATGCCATTGTTATTCATATTTACTCGACTGACACATGGTCAGTGGATGATGCAGCTGAGTCAAGAAGCCACTGGCAGGGAAATAGTGTGTACGGGTTTCTGTGTCATGATTATACGTCTTAAATTTAGTGGCATGCAATCGACGAGGGACACAGATGGGTCAAGGAATTTCCCGTCGGAGTTAGAGAAGGACTGTTGTAGTCATGTAGAGTGAAGACAAGCGAGGAAGACATGTATAAAACAGAGTAGTAACTCTGCAAGTAGATATTATCATTCAACTTTTCTAATCTCTAATCTACTACGGTCTCGACTCGCCTTCAGATAGACCCCCAAAGCTCACCAGCTTGATCAACCAATAGCACAGTTATATCTCCAACTATTGTGCGGTCTCGGTTGGGTTGTTAGGAGGCTAGGAATGGAGGATGGGCTGCTGAATTAGGAAAGGGTGGAAAATACAGGCTGGTGCACAGACGCTCTTTATGTACTCTATAATCTCTTCAACTGCCGAGCTTAATACATAAATCTATCAGAATAATATTTTACTTCTCATCATCCATTAGATGATGTTATTGACTGTTTGCATATGAACTCCGAGGCATGAGTGCTCTTTCTTTACGGTGAATCATTTATTCTGTACTTTTCTTTGATATTGTGTCATAGCTAGATAGCTGGATACGCAATTGAAATCTGACGCAAAAAAAAAAAGATATTGACTGTTGGGATGCACATCATGTCAGGGACCGCAGACGGTGGACTATAAGTAGGACAAGGATGAAGACTTGGACGAGGACGAATGCGAGGACTAGTACAAAGACAGGATTCTAGGATGTAGATAAAATACAAAACAAAAAATTGCAGTACAATCACAGCCCAAGAGCTTCCTTGAGTACCTGAGACCGATGACTACAATCAAGGGCACAATAGCCCACACCTGTTACACAGCAACTGATCAGTATCTTGACTGGTGACTGTTGCTATCACAACACTGTAACCATCGCAACGCACTGATCCTATTCCTGAGTGTACTCATGGAGCGGTTGGCCAGGTGCTATACAATATCATAAACTGGTCTGTGACATTACCCCCTCCTTAACTTCTTCGAGCTCCTGTGAGATGAGTTTACATTTAGTCGTGATACTGTGTCACCAGGCTTGGGTTCCAAAGGATTGAGTTCGTGGAATTCTTTAGCCATTTCTTTGAATCCTTCCGCTTCAGAAACAGGTATGCTCCAATCATCTTCAGGACCGTATCCTTTCCATCGGACGAGGTAATGTAACTTATCCTTGACCCAATGGGAACCAATTATCTTTTCAATTTAGTACTCAGGGTTAGGGTCTTCGGTATCAAGCGTGGGTGGAGGTCCTGAGGTTTGGCTAGGCAGTGGATCATTGGAAACCGGAGAGAGAGGCGAAATGTGGAATACAGGATGAACTTTAGATGATGAAGGAAGCTTCAATCTGAAAGCATACTTTCCTACAGGCTCGATTATTTTAAAGGGTCCTCAATTCTTATAATCTAATTTACGACTCGGTCGTTAGAGTCGGACGTTCTTGTAATTGAGCCAGACTGAGTCTCCAGGTTGGTAGTTCCTTGCGGCTATTCTTTTCCTGTTAGCTTGATATTCATACTGGGCAGTTTGAAACTCGATATTTTCAATTAGAAACTTCTCAACTTTTTGCATATTAGAGACGAGAATTTCGGCGTCTTTTCTTTCAATCTTAATTGATGCAGGAGCTGGCGGACTAGAAGAAGGGGCGGAAAGTTCGGAACCAGAACATGGATGCAGACCATAAATGGCCAGGAATGGCGATGTACCTGTAACATGTGTATCGTGATTGTTCAGAGTAAATTCTGCAGATGGCAGGAAGCGAACCCAATCATTTTGCACAAAATTGACGTATGCTCTAAGATGCTGCTCGATACGCGCATTCCTGCGCTCGGCTTGGACATCGATTTGTGGGTGGAATGCAGTTGACAGTCGATGATCTATTTGCAGGAATTTGCATGCCCATTTCCAAAACTCGGAAATATATTTCCACGATCGGAAGTTATGGAGTCTGGCAGGCCATGAAGGCGGAAACAGTCCCTGTAGAACAGGTACGTAGTGCTCCGTGCGCTCAAGTCGCTGCATGGGATGTTGTGGACCTGCTTAGTCATTCTATCCACGACGAGTAGCATGCTGTTGAATTGGACTTCGTTCCAGAACTTACTCGCTAGTAAATCAACAACAAAATCCGGGAGGACGAAGGCTGAACACCTGTCAGTGGTGTCCTCTACGAACCTGGGAGTGAAATATTCTCTCAGAGCCGAGATTCAGTCACGACAAAGGGTGAATTTGAGAGTTTTCGTCGCGTTGGCGATCGGGAGGAGTGGTGTTGGCTCATTTTTGGTCGAAAATCCGACTTGCAGAGATTTCACGACTGCACAACTCAACGAAATCAACAATCTACACCCCAGATACGAGCTGCAGACAGCCTGTAACCTGTCTGATGTTCATATTACAACAACTGACACCTTCAATATCTTATTTTCTATTCTTCTGGAAATTCATTCTCAGCCAAACTCATCTCGCGGCCCTCTCCACAATAATCCCACCACCTACCGAAGCAATCCCATACATTCAAAAGCCAAATCGCCAACTAAGAAGCAAGAGGATGTCCGACCCTCCGCAACTGCCAGTCGCTGTGAAGGTACGGTCGAAATACTGGCCTTAGATGCGTCCTCACCTCGGCCAAGGGCACCAACAACTCGACCTGTGACGAATCGCCACCGACGAAATAAGTACGACATTTCGCTGGCACAACAACTAGAGCATTCGACAAAGGCTGGGGCACCGGTGCCTCAGACTTGAGCTCTCAGTCGCGTTTTCGACCTCCACAGTTAGGGGTACGGCAGCGACGGGGCAAGGCCGGAGGTGTGGACATTCTACAAATTTTCTTGGATGATGATATCGGCCGAAGGGTAAATGGATGCTACATGAAGGAACCAAAAGGGAACACAAACTGAGGAGGCCTTGGTGGGCGACTGGATGAGGCCTCCAGTGAAGAAAACGAACCCTGGATGAGGTGAGGAGATGCTGAGATGAGTCAAAGCTGGGAATAATTCAAAGGGAAAAGTTACAGATGGCGAAGGTATCAAGGGCTCGGGCGCGTGGTGGCCGAGGCTGAGGAGGAATTTCCGCTTTGGCGCGCCAAAAGGGGGTTCTCTGGACGGTTGGGCTTGACATGATTCAACACATGGGTGAAGTCTGAGGTGTTCTGGTCATTTAGGTGGGACGAGGCACTTGTACTTTACGGTAGTTAACCTGATCCGGCCCGGCCCCACCCGTGCTTAAGCTCCAGTAGGAGTGCAACGGGAATTACTATACCTAGCACGTAAATGAACAAAGCAAAACAAAACAACAACAAAATCCATAGCAATGTGTCGCCATCATTGATTTGCCACCGCGAGTGGGCATAGCAGTCCTTGGGCTCCTCATCGATTGGGTTTAATGCGCGAGCAGGTATGACAGTTCCGAACAAATCGCTTTATTTGACCTAACATACCATGCCAGAAGAACTTGCGAGCTATGACAGAAAACGTCGCAGCTGCTCTTTGGTGTCCTGCATCTGGTGGATCATGATGCGACTGAATAATTACCGTGACTAGGGATTGATCTTGTTCGCTCTGTGGGAATTCAATTTTGTTCCTATAAAGTAAGAGGCCATTACTACACACGCACTCAGCCAGGGTGAAAATTTTGTTTCTAGGCGCATCAGAGTTCTTCAGGGCATTTATTACAGCTATAATAGACTTATCGGTGCGGCTCACTTGGTGGATACGTTCTAGGAATGTCGGTGGAATTTGTGTGTCTGATAAAACATGTACGGGTGTATCTAAAATGTTGGAAGACTGTGAGAGCTCTGAATTTTCAACTGACACATAAGCCAATAACTGGCTTTCTCCCATACCAGGCATCAGATTATGTGGTTTGAGAAGTCGTTGCTCAAGGAATTTTCGAAGATTTGGATCAGGGGATCCGGCTGGGCGAGATAGCGCGTCTGCTGGCCCATTCTGGAAACCAGGGCGATAAAAGATTTTAAAATTGAAACGCGATAGGAACTCGCTCCATCTAGCCTGACGCCGGCTGAGTAGTCGGGACTTCATGAAATACTCCAGAGCTTTATGATCTGTGACGACTTCTATGGGTTCAGGGGACCCTTCTAGCTCTGGACGCCACTCTTCGAAGGCTTGCACAATTGCCAGAAGTTCTTTGTCGTATATTTCGTAATTGGACTCCGCTGGGTTCATCTTTCGAGAAAAGAATGCGACTGGTT